TTAAAGTTTCTTCACTCAACAGACAGCTCCTCTTTTTGAAAGTTCTCGTCCACATTTTTTGTACTAATTTATCACTCTTTCTACTCTATCCCCCTCTTACCATATCAGTACCATAGATGTTTCCTTTACAGGCAATGGTTGCATAGAAATCGACGAGTTTTTGCAAGTACTGCGAAGACAGTTGTTGAGTCCACGAGAAGAGAGGGAACTTAAGGAAGTCTTCGAAGTGAGTATAAACTGCTTATGTCCATGTCACTAAATGAATTTGAGTGTGAAGCTCTGCGAAAAACAGGGTGAAGCGCCCTAACCCAGTCAAGAAAAACCAATTTGGAACTCAAATGATTCATTGGTAGCATAGAAACTACCACCCACGTACCCTTCTAGAGGGACTAATTAACACCTTCAAGTACACTAAGCCGATTTGTCCATTAAGAAGAATACAGTCTGGGCGAGATTTCATCATTTTTAAAACTCCCTACAATGGGAACGGCCACCATTTAATCAGAGTCTAGTAGGAGAGCAGTTAATGATAAAATCACATTTCAAAACTAGGTACTTGATAAAACTAAAGCATATTTTCTTGTACAAAATTATCTGCACATAGCAATAATTAAAAATTGTAGGTATTCGACAAGGATGCAGATGGCTTCATTTCTAGTAATGACTTGATTCATTTGATGCACTCACTAGGCGAAGCTTTGAGTGAAAGCATGGCTCGCGACATGATCAGGGAAGGTGATTACGATCATGATGGATTGATTAGCTTCAACGGTAAGACTCAATAACTATTTCTTCCTCTTCAGCTAATGCGTCTACATCGAAGTGGTGCAAGACTGTCAAGATTTTCATGATATATCAACAAATAGATATACATAGAGTGACAAAAGTACGGTGCTCAACTTCTGCTCTGAAAATCAGAAGAGCTCAAGCAATAACAAAATTTTTTACTTATAATTAGCTATTTGAAAGGCTAAGTGCCACCCCTTATTAGTAAAAAAAATCAAATCCTTTCTTTGGGAAGGTAGTAGGGTATTCAAAAGTATTCAAAACTTGTTTCTCTCTGAGAAAATGAAGAGAAGAAGAATTTGACGCATTGCGAATTCTTGGATATTCTGGTGAGCTATCACCCTTCAGACATCACTTTTCCGACCAAAAATATCTCTTTTTTTTGTGGAAAGATTGCATCATATGGTTGGTTTTGCATGTTAGTGACAAAGCGAATTATTAGGTGAAAGATACTTTTTTTTCAATAGTAAGTTGGCATAAACAAATTTTTGGTCCAAGGAAAGGATTCATGTTCTGCTGATTATGCTGTAGTTTAGTTCTCCGTTCAAGCACTATTGTGACCTTTACGTTCGTACAATTTCCCAAACGTTTTCCATATTCAAAAGGGCTATTACTTTTCATAGCATCATATATATTAATTCAAATTGGATTTCAGAACATCAATCACAATCCAAATTAAAAATTCACATTGTAATTTCAGAAATTTCCATATATTGGTCAATAAATATTGCCCATTGCAGAATTCGTGACGCTAATCAAAGGACGGTCATGATAGGATCTAAAGATGGCGACATGTGGCCTGTTCAATTGCAATTGTACAGATATTTTATTTTGAACATATACTGCATACCAGAAAAAAAATTCGTTCCAAAAAAGATGGACATGGGTTGGTGTACACAGTTGTGCGTTAAAAAAAGAATTTACTCACTCGAAACTCGCTTACTACACTTCCTCAGGATTACGCTATATTCATTTTTTTCAAGATGTATAGATTTCAATATTTCTGCCGATTGACCGGACATACTGGAGCTTTACTTTCTTATCGCCTTTCAATGATATAAAAAGTTGTTGTGATCATTATTTGTGATTATATCATATCGATCAATAAATGTCAATCGTGTTTCTACATTGGTGCACTACACAATACATCTACAAAATCTCAAAAAAAATTTACTACATAGTTATCAATCTCAAGCACATCCCTGGAACAAATGAGAACAATGGAAGACAAGAGTCATCGATGAGGTAGGACAGTCGAAAATAAAGCTCAAGGTCATCCATGTCATTTACAATGTATTGTGAGTGTGGTCTCACTTTCTAAGGATCTACATCAAAACAAGAATAATTTTGCTATAAAAAAAAGATTGCGAGGTCACCTAGAGACCGGTGAGATGCTGCTTCTTATTTTGTTTCCAGTATTCTGCCGTTCTTCTGTCTGGAGTTAGTTTTTTTCTTTTGCAAAAAAAAATTTCTAGGTTATTCGAAACATCACATTACTTCAAAAATATTGTCATTCAATTTTCTATTAGTGTTCCAATTTTCCGCTTAGAGCCATAAATTCAAGAAATTTTGTCTACAAAACAATCTAATCTTCCTTCGAAACATACAACTTTCTGTGAAAGGACGGACCAAATAAGCTTTGGTTTGAATTTTTAGCAGCAAAAAAGTGTTTTGCTGTGTTCAACAAAGAGCTCACAACTCATTTGATATTCTATTTCCTCGCGAAGATTCTTATACATATTTTCTTCGAAAAGTGCTGATGCTTTAACCAAACTGATATCAAAAGCATTTTATGGGGCAATTTTTGAATAAAAAAAAGTTATGACATTTTCGGCACTTCCGCTCAGGTCAAAGACTATGTAAAAATAACTAGACATGATTCTAGGTGTTCAAATTGGATGAGAGGGTAATTTTTTACTTTTACACATTTACTATAAGAAAATATGTTGTTCTGGCTTACGTTACTGAACTTAATTCCATGTTTTTAATCTACTGCAGATTTGGGAGACACATTTTCATAAAAATAATTACACGCAACACGCATAAGCATATTTGAAACTTTACTCAGATTAGTGAAAATAGTAGGAACTAAACAAGAGAGTTTGTGCTGTTTTAAGACGTATCTCATTCAGCGAGGCCTTTCTATGAATCTGCGTTTAAAACACCCTCGAACGTGATCTACGTGCCACAGTCTACAATGTATGGGAACCCTGACACCTCCAGGTGAGAGTGTGAGAGTAGCAGCGGCTGTTTTTTTTTTTT